ACATGCAGGTACTGCAGCTTGGACCTGCCCAGCCTGTTCTCGACCCCAGTACCTGTGAGTGTTGGCGGGTTCCAGTTCACATCTAGTTCAGCGTATCACTATCCAAACTCTTGAGTTACCCCAACTCATGACCTAACCAGCAGAACTTTTACTTTCACAGGGTTAGGCCCACTTACCCCCAAAGAATCGACCCCTGGACTTGGTTACTTGTGTGCTGGTTAGTGTCATGGCCCTACCTGATGTGACCTGTCCCCTGTTCCAACACTCAGGTATTAGGATCTAGCTCTGCTAGACGGGCCCCCAGCCATACCTTTCATGTGGGGTGGCATGTGGCAGTCAACAATGCTCTGCACTAACAAGCCCATCTCAGGACTCCCATGTGGGCTGGTGAATCAGTCTGACCCAGATTTTATGGACCCTCCCCTCCAAACCACCAGGTCTTAGTATCTTCATTTACCTGCAAGTACAATGTTGTTGGGTGTCCCTCAGGATTCATTCCTCACATACACATAGGGTGGTCTTATCCATGGATGTCCCTAGGTAGTAATTCATCACCCCCAACTCCCCAGAGCTTGTTGGTGGGCAGCTAGCGAGCAGAGCCAAGCATCAATTTCGTGCTCTGGCCACCTGACCTAAGATGGCCCTAGCTGTTCTGGAGCAGCCAGGCTAGGCCACAGGCTCCCACCCCGACTAGCCAGAAGTGGGTCCCTTTTCTGTACCCAGCCTTCCAAGCCTTCCAAATCGGACCTGTCTTCCACAATTTTATCACATCTCTTCACAGGCTTTCCCTCCATGACTTCTTGAGCGTGCAAAGTCCTTTCTCTATGTGCTATGATGGCTTTGTTTTTCTGTCTCTTGAGCCATCTCATCTACTATGCTGCTGCAGTCATGTCATATGGCTAACAGCCTTACTTGCTTCAGTTTTGCAGCCCAGAGAGGCAGAGCAGAAGCTGAGCAGAAGCTGAGGAATCATCAGAGGGTGAGAATCAGATAATGCAGGTGCTTATGGCTGAGTTCCTGTTTTCTTGTGTGTTTACTGAGAAACTGTAGTTTGTTGGAAATAACACATATAATGATTTATGAAGTTATTTACCACAGGCTAAATGGTTTACATTCATTTTTTCACTCAACTCTGTAAGATAGGTTTTGTCACCCTCACTTTGTAAATGTGAAAACGGAAACTCAGGGAAGCTAAGTAATTCGCCTCAAGTTTCACAGCTAATAAATGACTATGGTAGAAAGAATGCTATCATTACTGTGTTTCATCTTTTTGGGCATTTAAGAAGATGTTATTTTCCAGGCTGCTGTGTAATTTGGCTGGAGTCTTGAGACTGGGTGTTTTTCCCAGTGGAATTACATTAAAATATCAGAGGCCAGGCCCAGCGCGGTGGCGCAGTGGTTAAGGTCCTCGCCTTGCACGCCCAGGATCCCATATGGGCGTCGGTTCTATCCCGGCAGCCCCGCTTCCCTTCCAGCTCCCTGCCTGTGGCCCAGGAAAGCAGTCGAGGACGGCCCAAAGCTTTGGGACCCTGCACCCGCGTGGGAGACCCGGAAGAGGCTCCTGGCTTTGGATTGGCATAGCATCGGCCGTTGCGCTCACTTGGGGAGTGAATCATCGGATGGAAGATCTTCCTCTCTGTTTCTCCTCTCTGTATATCCACCTTTCCAATAAAAAAATAATAAAAATAAATCTTTAAAAAAAATATCAGAGGCCATTTGCAGGATTTGTTTCTAAAAGGATCCTTTTAGGTCCTGGTTACCTTACCAGAACCTTACCCTGGAAGACATGCATTGGACTGACAGAGCTACAAGAAAAAAGAGGGATTGCCAACCCCATGGCATAAGCAAGAACAAATCTTACTGGATATTTAGGTGTGAGCTTCATGACAGAGCTGGGATTAGCAGTCATATTCTTTGGCCACCAATATTTTAAAACAGTATTCAGTATTTTTATATTGACACTGATGATAGCTATTAGAGCATGAATAAAAATGACAAAGTGGACCCATGTTGTGGCACACCAAGCTAAGCTACTTCCTGTGCCACCAGCGTCTCATATGAATGCTGGTTCAAGACCTGGCTGCTTTACTTCTGGTATAGTTCCTGCTAATGCACTTGGGAAAACAGCAAAGATGGCTAAGCACTTGGACCCCTACAACTTGTATGAAAAGCCTGAATGGAGGCATCTTTCTGGCTGATCCCTAGCCGTTTTGGCTATCTTGAGGGGGTGAACTAGTATGTGTAAGATAACTTTTTGTCTCTCCCTGTGCTTGTAACTTTGCCCTATGAATGAATGAAAAATTTAAAAATTGAAGAGAGTAAAGAAAAGCTAAAAGTGTATGCTTCATACTTGATCTTAGCCAGAAGGCAGAGAAGTGATAAAAAGGTATACTCTTATTATGTAAAATAATACTGATTATAAGTATTCAGGGGAATTACCAATAAAAAAATCATTAACCACAATTTAAATTTCACTTTGCATTTGGTTTTCCATTCCGTTGAAATTGGAATCCAATTTCAATTCTTTCTGTTTTATTATTATTATTGGAAAGCCAGATATATAGAGAGGAGGAGACATTGAGAAAGAGCTTTCCTCCGCTGATTTACTCCCCAAGTGGCCGCATTGACTGGATCTGAGCTGATTTAAAGCCAGGAGCCAGGAGTCTTTTCCAGGTCTCCCATGTGGGTGCAGGGTCCCAAGGCTTTGGGTCATCCTTGACTGCTTTCCCAGGCCACAAGCAAAGAGCTGGATGGGAAGCGGGGCCTTTGGGATTAGAACTGGCACCAATATGAGATCCCTGCTTGTGCAAGGTGAGGCTACCAAGCCAGGCCTTAATTTCAGTTCTTAAGAGATATTCTTAATGATGATGGTTGCTCTGGCACATGGCTATGTTTACAACCTTAAAACAATAACAACAATATGGGTAACAAGTGGACAAATGTTAAGAGCAACCCCTTCTAAAATCCCTTGTTTAGCGTGTAGGAAGACCTAAATTCCAGTAAGTTTTGAGACAGAACAAAACAATATTCCACCGACTCTAGAGGTTATTGGAAATAACTTCAGAATTTCGTTTTGGGCCACATGAATACTGCTGGATACCTGCACAGCATTATTTGTAAGTTACATAATTAACTTTTTCATTTAAATTTTTTTTTGCTTTTATAATGAGTTTTAAATATTGCCTTATAAAATGATTCATTTATTTATCTGAAAGATCCAGAGGCAGAGAAGCAGAGAAAGCACTCCCACAGGATAGTTCACTCTTGAAGTATCAGCAACCCAGGAACTCAGTTCAGATCTTTCATGTGGGCTGCAGGGATTCAACTACTTGAGCCTTTTGTCACCTGCTATCTCCAGGGTGTGCATTAGCAAGAAGCAGGAGTTGGGAGGAGAACCCAGGAACTCCATTTTAGTGGATCGGTCAAATGCCTGCCCCAATTATATATTTCATGTGATAGAAGCTTCTCACAGTCAGAATTATAATAAAAACATCTGTTTGTAAACTAAATCAGCTGGAATATTCCTTTTATCAGGTTTTTCAGTGTCAGAAAGGCAGTCCTTTTAAAGGAACTTACATGCAAAGAAGAATGTATTTCCTGTAATAGCAGCAAACTTACACATCAGCTTTTCTGAACAAATACTTTAAGTATATTTGCTAGCTTAATTATTACCTATGAGAAAATGCCAACCACAGAGAGGTTAAGTAGTTTGGGAAAGGTTACACAGCTTATGAAGGGTGAAACCAAGAATTTGAACCCAGCCAGTCTGGCTACAGCATCTATGCTTTTAAACCACTTTTGCAGGTTGCTGCTTCTTAACTAATACTTAGTACTTTCTAGGACGAGAACCCCGTATTTGCTCTTCTTTTCTCTACAGACAATACAATATGACAAAGACAAGTCAAGATGGACATTCCCAAAACCTATCACATGGCCATGTTTTGTATGCAAATCCTTAGGGTCAACATCTTTATGTCAGAGAGAGCCAAAGAAATCTGATGAATAACTCAGTGGGCAGATGGCTCAAACACAAAGTTTGGTGAAGGAATTGACTTCAGATATTGGAAAATATGATTTACGACCAGCAAAATAGGAAAAATCCAGAGTTTACAAAAACCACACAGTATAATAATGTGCAATATTTTCTGACAGTCTTCTGAGGGCTAGGTTCAGGACATAAGGTTTTATACCATATCCTAAAATAATTGTGTCAGGTACATAGTAATTATTTAATTGAATTCCAAATGCCACAGTTTACAAACTAAACAACTAATTTATGCATTAGTAAGAAAGCAAAAAAAAAAAAAAGTCTTCAATTAAGCCAATGTACATTAGTGGTAAGATACATTCTGATATAAGAGATGTTAAAATGTGACTGCAAGTTAACTCTGAGGAATTATGATAGAATTGCCACAATACAGATGAGAAAACAGACATCCTGCTGTTAAATTGTCCAGCATCATTTGGTTAGCAAATTGTAGACCCTGCGCTCGCAACCAAGTGGATGCTTTTAACCAACCATCCAATGGCGTATGTTTCATTCTTGTTTATTCTGCAGACAGTGAAATTAAATACCACTTCACTGTTGCTAACTTGATCATCAGCCTCCTTTAGGCAGGTAACGTAAGTCTCAGGGTGACTCGTCAAGATATGAACACTTGGTTAGATGATTTACAATGACCAAATAGGCCAAGAGAACAAGCCAACCTCTCCCTCCCTTTCCTCAGTGCAGACAGCCCCAATGTTATATTTTTCAGGAGACAGTTTATGTCTCTTTGTCTTGCAATCAGTCCTCATTCTAGTTTATAATTGAAAAAGAACATTTTCTTGTATAGAATGAGATCTTTGTTTCTGAAGACACTGCATAGCCTGTTGTTCAGTTTGCAAACAAAACATAATTCCTTGCACTTTTAATAACTCAGATGTTTTGTAACGATGTCGTGGTTTGAGATTTGAGAGTGAGCAAACAAGACCACACGAAGCTTAAAGAAGCACAGAACAATTTCATAAAAACAGTTTTAGCAATAAAGACCCACAAGATAGAAAAACATAAAATACATACATACTTGACTCAGAATCCCAGCTTTTTTCTTTTTTTTTTTTCCAGGAGGCGACAGCAGCTTTAAACATTGCCTTCCTCTTGCGTAGGACTATACATGCACAGTACACAACTTCAGTTCCTGTTCTGAAAGCACTGTGAGCCATTGTTTTACGATGGTCTCTTGAGGCTAAGGAAAAATGCCATTGGTAGTCTGAAAGAATAGGTTTTAATATAGGCATTTAATTTTCTTTCCATATACTCCCTGATTAAAACAAGGCTTGCCCCATTTTTTCCTCTTTTTTTTTTTTAAACTGTCTCTACCCACATCAACAAAACAATGTACTGATTCTAGCTATGACTTTGGTTCAGACTGCCCTAAGTTTATAAGCAACTTGGATTCATTTTTGCACTGAATGCAGGCATTGAGTTAAGTTACGTTGGGAACTTTTAACTTTTTAATTAAAAAGGAAAATGTAAATATTTTGTGCTCCAAATAGTGTTGCAGTTTGTTGAGTATGGCTGTTCTTAAAATTAGTTTATTAAGAAACTTTTAAGAAAATTATTGTTCTTGAGCAATGATTGAAATAAAATAACCATTGAAATTATCAAAGATAAATACAGATAACTGCAAGTTAATCAGGAGGGATATTTGGAGCATTTAATGCTATCATCTTTATCCATGATACCATTGTTAGTGTTTTTGAGCTATTGGATTATTTTGTTATTATTTCTCTAAATCTTTTCAAATTTCCTAATTTTCACTAACTATTTTAGAAATCCAAAATGTGAGAAACATCTGATATCTAGCTTTCGAGATTACCATAACTTGAAGAGGCTAACAGTTACTGGAGAGCAGTAATTTGGATTCAAACCCAAGTTTAAACATAAGACTGTGTACCTTTTTATATCACTTTGATTCATATTGGACCTTGGGCAACCTATATGATTTCAACAGGGCTGAATTCAGAATAATTTGATCAGATTTAGCACTAACACAAACACAACTGGAAAATAAAATGTTAAAAAATGTTCACACAAATTTCAAGTCTGGGCTTGAGTCCAACTGTTAACACAATTAGAATGAATGTCTGGGTTGTGTTGGGATTCAACAGTCAGAACTACTCCATTCATTTTTACTGAGAGGAGCTTTCCTAAATATTAGCTACAGTGTGAGGTGTATTTATATGAAGTTTATCCCCAGTTATTTCAAGGTAGATATTATTGGTACCCACTTAAAAGATGAGAACAACCCCATCTAATGAGAGACTTTTCAGGGCAACCATGCTAGCAAGTGGGAGAGCCAAATTACAATGTTAAGGTCTGTAGGTGCCAAAGTGCTGTTTCTCCCATTTAACACACCTTGGATCCTTATGGAACTTAGACTTTAGCTATCACAGAAATAGCTATAATATAAGGTGTAACAATAAGACAAAGCAAACCCACATAGGGACATAAACAGAGTTGTGAGGATTCAAGTCCTAGAGAGACATACCTAGGGGTGTGTATGTGTGTGTGTGTGTGTGTGTAATTAGAGCGATTGGAGAGCAAGAGAAATACTTCGCATCAGAGTCTTGATAGGAGAAAAAACACTGAACTGAAAGGTGGGAGTCCATTGATGCGATGAAGATACGGGTTAGACATGGTGAATCAGGCAAGGGTAAATAGGAAAGGTGATGTGCTTTTTAAATTTAAGAGTAAGAGAGCAATCAAGCCAGAGATATAGCTGATAGATGGTAGGCTTCAGGCTGAAGGAGGGAGGTTTGTATATGATTCATGAGAAAATGAGGATCACTGGAAAGATTTGAGTGGAGAAAAATTAATCAGGCATAGTGTACAGCGAAATCAGGACCATTTACATAAGTCATTTTCCTATGAATCAGGTGGGATTTTGGTGAATAAGATATGTATTATTATCCTTACTATAAAAATATAAAAAATGAAAGCTCAGAAGGGCTGAATGCCTTGCTTCATGTCAGTCGGTAAACTAAGAGCCAGGACTATAATCTAGTGTGTCTAACTCTAGAACCCTGTACCAGACCCAACAACTTGTAAACTCCTACCACCCTGTCTTACACACATCCCAGTTCATCTCAGAGCTTATGAGCAATGAAGCCAATAACCAGAACCTGCAAAACATTACACTGGACCTCTTATTCTTCCTTATCTATGTAATAAATCTTATCTTATTCTTCCTTATCTATGTAATAAATCACCAGAAAACTCATTCAGCTGCCACAAAGTACATGCAATGTACAAAATACATTAAGTAGCTCCTTGCATGAAAGACAAGACTTAGCTAAGAAAAGCTACCTTCTGGGTTTTGTTCTCGTAGGAGGTAAACAAGAATTTAAAAACTGAAATTAAGCCCTATGCTCTAATCAGCAGGAAGTAATGACATAAGATGCGATGAACCTGCTCCTTTTCACAGCTCTTAGATTAAGGGTCAGAAATCTCTGAAGGGGGAATGAAATGGGATAGGTAGGTATCCAATGTAGCAGCATAAGCTGGAAATCACATTGCCCCTGCTCTTTGTAAATCCCATTTGCCTGCATATCAATCAAATAACTCAGGACATACTTCCCTCATCAGGGACCTGGAGTGATATCATGAAACCGCTGCTCTGCTGATATGCCCAAGGTGATATGAAGGCTGGCAGAGCAGAGAGGCAGTCTCTGTCTTCCTGCAGATACAGAATGGAAAATAGAAACATTTCTCTTTCCCACCTTTCCCCTTCTAACCCACTCCACCTCTGAACATGCCCTGTGTGTACATGTGATCCCTTCACCTTTTAAATAAACTTAAAAAAAAAACAGAAAGTGTGACTAGTGCTCTAAATTTAACCTCTCTGAATTTTAATTTTCTCATCTGCAAAATATTTGGATTTTAAGAATCAAATAAGATGTTATCCATGAAAAGGCCTTACACAAGCAGCACGGACACCTAAACATGAAGAGCTAATATCAAGAGAGATGGCTATAAAATATCTTATTTCAAAATGGAAAAATAGTGACAGTTATTCTGCTTAGCATTTGAGAGACCCAATCTTGTATCAGAGTGCTCGGGTCTGGGCTCCAGCTTGGCTCCTTTTCAGACTTTCTGCTACTGTGCATCCTGGAATGCAGTAGTAATGGCTCAGCCAGTCAGGACCCTGCCTCCTGCGTGCAAGACCCGGAGTGAGTTCCAGGCTCCTCACTCTGGCCTGGCTCAACCCTGGCTATTGTGGGTTTTTGGGGGAATGAACCGATAGATAAAGATTTCTATCTTCTCTTTCTCTCATTTTCTACCTTTCAAATAAATAAAGTTCTATATAGAGAAAAGAAATAATATCAAGGACAATGTATAATTTTAGATGAAGGAAAATCCAAATCACAGAAGGAAGGGCTAAAGGACCAATGGGGAAACATTCTAAAGAATAAAGGATTCCAGGCAAGCTAAGATTTGATTCACGCAAGTGTTCCCTGAAAATGCAGAGACTGCATTCTACATCCAAGTAGAAAGAGAAACAAGGGCCTGTGTGGTCTTGGCCCAAAATAGCACACCCAAGGTTGGCAAAGTCATAAGAAATAGTATGCAGTAATTTACAAAAAATGAAAAACAGTTCACTTAATGAAAAGTTACTATACATTTTTAAATCCTGAAGTGGAGCAACCTACATAATGAATTAATAATGAAACATTTGTTAGCAATTAATCATAATTACCCCAGAAAATAAAGGTACATTAACATATTTCAAGTAAAGTATTCTTCAACAGACTCAGGCAGTGAGGAGGTTAGACACAACAAGTTAAAGAGGTTAGGCCTTCTCATCCCTAAATCTCCTGACATACACTTATTGAGGGCTTACCATTTGCCTGGTGTTGTGCTAAAGTTCTGGGGCTACAAAATGCATGAGCACAGTTACTGTCCTCAATTAACTAGTCATTCAGCAGAGGAAAATAGGCCCCAAGATTATCAGGCAGGGCAGTAGGAGAAGCACAAATAAGAGAGCATGGACATTCGCAGGCACTGGTGTTAACTGATGCTGATAGGCATGTTAAGACAGACTTCCTGGATTAACAGGATTACACATGCTTTGACCTTTTTCCTTTGGTCTCCAAAGGATCATCTTCTGAGAGTATTCTTCTTACTCTATAATGCTTCGTCACTAGTATGACATAAAATAGTTGATTAAAGTTTAATATACTTGGGTCTATGGAAAAGCTAAAAAGTTAGGCAGTGGTACCCCATGACATTCATTTGACATCATTTAATGATGGCAATCCATGTCCATATAATATTTTAAAAGTGAAAAATAGTAAAAACAGACCTCAAATAATTGATTTTAATTAAAATATCCAGTCCAATTATTAAAACATTAGCATCAACTGGCTCTTTGTTGGTTTGTTAGTGCCATGCTGACCTACATACTGATCCATCATGTTGCCCTTCTCTGAAAGCCCTGTGAAATTAACAAAATATTTCTGACATAGGGAAGGGCAATTAGCAGTATGAAGGGACTTCGAAAAGTTTGTGGAAAAGTGAAATTAAAAGATACATTTATTCTAGTGCAAAGAAATCTTGACCTCATGGACAGGTTTTTCACAGAAAGATTTCCCACAAACTTCGTGTAGAGTCTGAAAATGTATTGTGTCGATACACTGTATGGAACAATTAAAGTTTTTTGTATTGGTCCTCATGAAAAATCTAGAAAAAATTTCCCTTCTATATGCTGTAAAGCTTTGATATACTCAATAAAAATCAAGTAGAACATATTTTAAAGGGTTATGCTCCATGAGGAATCTCAATCTGCTAATCAAGGATCTCATTTCAAGAATTAAAAGCTTACTAGGTCCGACAAGGAAAGAATAATGAAAATCAGAAAAGATATCAAATTTCTTTTAGTTCCATAATTGCTCTCAGACTAAGCAATACTCCTCAGGAAGATTTTAGAAGCATTCAGCAATAGTAGACATATTAAAAGCTATGTAAACGGGGGGGGGGGAGGGAATACCTTTAAAATCTTCTTAATGGAACCAACGGAATGGAGTGTTTGCCAACAGCTGCTTTAAAAAAGGAATTTCACAATCTGATATATCAACCGAGTTTTTTGGAAAGGCATCAATAAGTGTGTAAGCTCTGGACTTGCTGAAGTTCTTAACAACAGGTGCCCGTAATTGGCCTTCTGCATTTCTGTCTTGTTAACAAGTATATAAATAAGAGAAGGCTCCAGTA